GTGTCAAACTGTATTTCTTTGATGGCTGGATCAGCCTTAGTTAGCCTTCTGTGCCCTGTTTTGGCTGCCAGGGGCACCACAAGCTAGTCCTTTGCTATTTCCAGGCCGGTCCCGCAGACTAGATTTAAGCACCCTGGGGCTGGATCTGGCCTGTGGGCCTTGAGTTTGACACCCTGTATTATATGGAGATGGTAGTATTTATAGAGCCTTCTGGAGAAGATATCCATAATAAATCCTAGTTTCCTTCTTTCTGCTGATGTGATAAGAAAATACTTAGCAAAACTATTACTGATTTGAATTTTCTGATTTTGATCGCTGGAAGATTCCCTTTAAAAAGTTTTCAAAATATACACTGTACTGGACATGATTATTCTTGTACTCTTAACTTGTTTGGATTTTCTATGAATAGGTGCTGTGGCTGTATTTGCTGTGGGATACATAAAAGTATCTTTTCTTACTTGGGGTGAAATAGTCTTAGCCATGTTCGCCTTCTTCATTGCTGCAGCTGTGTATCTCATGGACACTATTCATAACATTTGGGTGTGCTATGTTTCGTACATGGCATTTCGAATTGTCTATATGCTGCTCATTACAATTGCAACGTAAGTACACTTGCATATTTCATCATTTTATAAATTTTCAATCTTGCCATTGCTCAGATATCATACATGTATGATGAGATTGCAAATCCTCAAAATTCTAAATAATTTAATGAGAGAGGTATCCCAGTACATATGGAATGTACCATGTTGAGGAATGTTGTCATATAGCTTTTGGAGTAGATTAACTGTGTTTGTCTGAAAGCTTCAGTTCTGTCACAATGAAGCTATTTAATAGCCAAATAGCTAAAATAGGTTTGAACCTGTTTTCACCACCTGCTGAATTACAACGTAACAAAAAGCAGTGAATTTGTTTAGTTAAAATGGGGCTGGAAGTTGGGAATGTAACAAAATGTATCTATATCTTATAAATTTGTAAATGTGCTGCTCTTCTGGAACCTCTAACCTAAGCAGATGTTGGACTGGTACACTAAAGTTTTATGGAAGCAGATGAGAATCCTTTTAAATGTCAAGATAAATATGGGAAGTGCTTGAAGGCTGAAACTGAATATCAGTTTGTGAAAAAGAAAATATTTCTGGTTATACATAGTATAACCAGTAATCTAAAAGTTTTCGGTTGATTGTGATAGACACAACTGACCTTCTGATCCTCAAACTTCCAGAGAAGACCTTTCTTCATTCCAGAAGGCATTTAATACTGGAGTGATTGCTGCATTGCTTGATTTTATTCTCATCCATAGCTATTTGGTTCTTTCGAGCTCTGTTCAGGTTTAATTGAACCTTTCCCTTACTCCATTACATATCCTAGCTCTTTTCTTCCATTATCTATAACTTTTATATAATTTTGAATGCCATTGTCTCCTTTAAGTTTGTGGCTTTTAATATTCATCAGCTTTCCCCAAATCGAATTTTCTGCTGTAGTTATTATTTGTTTTATAGCTTCTGCCTAGATGACACTAAATTATTGAGAGAAGTTCAGTGGCTTTGAACTTCCCTTTGATATTAGGAAAGGAAATGTTATTTTAGTTTGTAAATTAATGAATTAAGTTTATATATAACAGAACAGAGACAATCCATGCCAGTTGTGGGCAACCTCTTACTTCTCAAACTTGATCCACTTGTCTTAAAAATGCTCTGTATAGGAAGAAATAGGAGTGTTTTCTTTTTTCCATAAAGTAGAAAACATGTTCCTTATTTTCTATTTCATTCCTTCTAGGCCTTCTCCAAGGGGAAATAGGGTACAGCTTCAGTATAAGGAATGGTGCTTTGAGGAAGGGGGTTATTAGTTTCCTAAACCTTATATCAGTTGAGCGTTCTGGGAATGGAATAGTGATAGGGAGTTCCCTACTTCTAGTCTATGAAAATATGTAAAGACAAATTAAATATAGTTTTTTTAATAGTTGATTCTCATTAGTCACAGATTCTTTACTTGCAAATATGCCTACATTAAAATAAAATGAAAACACATACGTTTGAAAACTCCTTTGCCTGTAGATTACTTTACCTTTGTTTCTTTTTCCTTTTTCTCAATTTGGGGTTTGATGTGCTTCAGAACTCTTGGCTAGAAAATTGGTTTTTTTTTAAACAGACATAAGGCAAAAGAGGAAAGAAAGCAGCACTCTCCTACCTCATATGTTTCTTTAAGGTTCAGAAATGTCTGTGTTCAAAATAAATGAAACTCACAATAAAAAATGTATGTAACCAATATGGTTACATTTTGATGATAACCTGCAGATGATAAATGAAATATGTTGTTTCTTTAAGTTCATCTTTCTTTTCTTTTTGTGAAGGTTCCAGATTGCTGCAAATCTAAGTGTAGAGCGCTATGCCCTTGTATTTGGTGTTAATACCTTTATTGCACTGGCATTGCAGACAGTACTCACATTCATAGTTGTTGATGCAAAAGGTCTTGGCCTTGACATAATAACACAGGTAAGATTCATTGATTTTGATTGGGTGGAAAGAGAGTGGACAACTTTTCATAACTTGTTACCTTGCAAAGAAATTAGACTTCAGTTCTCATATGCTCCATAATCAAATATTCTCTAATATCATCATTGATATTGGAGAACCATTTAACACCATTTAAAAAGGCTACTTTTGAGTAACTTCAAAATGTGAGGCCTTATAAGTTGCTTTTGGAGGGTTAAAAGTACATTGCCCCCTCTATTTTAAGAGTTTTTTTAAACATTCTTAATACAGATCAGAATTGTGGCAAATTGTGACCCGTGTAGCTCAGCCTACATGGGAAAAAATAGACATGTATGTCCTAATCACCTCATGACCCACATAGTTCCATATGGACTGCCCTCGAAGTTCATCAGAAGCTATAGCTGGGTTAAAATATATTGGTATCAGCCGTAACAGGCTTTAATATATGCCTGGTTATTGCTGCTACATGAGCTGCCATGTAGCTTCCAGGTGCAATTCAAAGTACCGTGTTTCCCCTAAAATACAACCTGACCTGGCCTTGCCACATTTTTTGCATAGGCAAAAATATAAGCCCCCCCTGAAAATAAGCCCCCTGGACAACCCCCCCCCCTCCAGCCAGGCAGAGCACAGCTCACCGACCTAGCGGTATCCCAAAGGCACCAAGTTGCAGGAGCCGGGGGGGGGAGAGAAAGGCGCTCACGTTGCTGCCTTCAGGATACCGCTAGATTGGGGCGTGGCATTCTGCCTGGCCAGAGGGAGGAATTGCCGGGCGGCTGCTCCCTTGCGAGTGGGCTCCCGAAGAGCACAGCCTCAGGGGTGAAGCAGCCATGAGGTGACCACGCTCACGAGCAGCCATCCGGCAAACCTCCTCTTTAGCCGGGCAGAGTGCCATTCACTGACCTAGGGGGTATCCCTAAGGTGCCAAGACACGTGGCGCTCTGCCCACCCCCCAACTTCCATGGCTTGGCACATTCGGGATACCCCCTAGGTCAGTGCATGGAGCTCTGCCCGGCTGGAGAGGGTGGTTGTGTAAGCGCCTGTTCTGCCCCCAGCTTGCATGCCTCCCATGCTCTGGCCCAGCTCTCCCTGCAGGGCCAGGGCGCCGCTGCTGTTTTCGCCGCCGCCACCTGCTCTAAGCATAACTTCTTCTCCGGCTTCCAAACTCTGGAACTTGGCTTCCGATTCTTCCAGCAGCGGCTGCTCTGGGAGTGCACTCTATTGTTGTGGGCTGTATGGCAGCCGCCCGGCAACCCCAAAACAATAAGCCCTCCCCTGATAATAAGGCCCAAGCCATATTTTGTGGGTCAAAAGAAAATAAGACCCTGTCTTATTTTCGGGGAAACACGGTACAGGTCATGACTTATATAGTACTTCATAACATAGGTCTGGTTATCTACAGGATTAACTATCTCCAATAATTTATGTCCACCTGGAATGGATGCACTACAGATTGAATGTTGCTATCTTGTGGGAATGAGGAAATGTGCCTTTTCTGTTACATCTCCTATTCTATGGAATAGCATTCCTAAAGACATATGTATGGTTCCTCCGCCCTTAAGGTACTGGAAACACTTTTGACCTGGCAGTGTTTCCAGACTTGGGGTTAGCCGACCTCCTATCATGATATTAATATTTTCCTTAATATTTTTGACTGTTATGCTCTGTTATTATATTTTTTATGTTTTGGGGATGTTGTAAGCCACCCAGAGTCTTCTGAAATTGAGCGGCTATAATAAATCTAATAATTAATTATGATTCTTGAGGCAGAAGGTCTAAAAGTTGCCTTTCTCCAGTTGTGTTTAAAAAATCCATAGCAAATTAAGTTATTTTCAACCTGTTTTGTGATTGTACCTGTTATGAGAGAAGTTAGTGAACATTAAATTCTCCAATTTCTAAATCTTCTTTTGTTTTTTGTAGTTCATGATCTATGCTGGCTACTTTGCTGTCATAGCAGTATTGTTCCTGATAAGTGGCACATACAGTATTATCAAGAATTTCTGGAGAAAGGAAAGGAGAAATGATGCTGTTGCAGATGATGCTTAAAATACAAAGGATGAACTAATTTGATAGCTGGTGGGGCAAAACTATATTTAAATATGATGGTTTATATTTATGAAACTATTGTTACTTTAAAACCACTATCTGTATTGTATTTGTACTATATTAGTAGCATATGTTAGTAAAATGCATTCATCTTATATAAGTAAGAATGCTGTATTTAACAACATTGCATCAACGTGCCTTTTGTAGACAAAGTCTACACAGGGAGGCGGGGGGATCTGTTTTTTCCTTTAGCCAGACCATAAAACTGTAAATGAAAAGTGATGGTTTTTTAAAAAAAGCATAGCTTAACTATCCTTTCGGTATTCTTTATATGTTGACTTTTAGAAACCTAAAACTGTGGCACAGTGATAGAACTGCAATCAGCAGCATTCTTTGAAACAAATTGGCCATGGCAGGATACTGCTCAGTTTTGGTAATTGCACATTCTGAATAACAATTAGACTTTTCTGTATAAGCAATCAAAATATTTTTCATTCTGTAGAGTGATTTTGATAAATTTAGAGATTTTAGTTCTCTTTTGTTGCCATTCCTGAAGTGTCAAGTGTATATCCTAATTTATTAATATTAAAAGACAATGATTAACAGAAGCAGAAAACCTCCTGGGATTCAAAAATAGGTTGGCATTTGGATAATTTCTATTGGTCATATTAAGCCTTTCAGCTTCTCCAAAGAAACTTTTAAATTTATGTATTCATGCTGTTGTTAGTAGACTTTCACAATGTCTGAGTAAAAGAAATGGCAGCTGTATCATTCTGCATTATCTGTCCAAGTAATAGAAATTGTCTTGATTGCTGATTCTGCCAATGATGATTGTATTTTTGAATTGTGGAACCAATGCATACAACAGTACTAGATAGGACATCATTACTTGGATTGTTTTGGTGTTTTCTAATACATCCATAATTTGGATTTATTAAAATCCTCTGGGGTGATTTTTGGAACCTTCTGGGGTTACCTAATGTAGACTAGATATTTCATAATAAGTGCAGAAAAGGAAAAAAAGTGCAGAAAAACACAGGAAGTTCTATTTGTTCTTTAAATTTAGAGAAGGAAGAGTTCATGTGTACTTTTTGGCTTGTGGGGGGGAGTTGATTTTTTTGTTTTTTATTCCCTTCCTGCCAGTTACATTGCCTAGCAGGATTTGCTTCAGGGTGTTGGATTAGTTGCTAAAAATACCAGCCTTGGCTATATGATGAAAAAGTTCAGTGACGTGCGGTGAGGTTTATGGCTGGTGAGGCACTGACACAGGAGTTTCAATTTTTTTTAGACTTGTGGACTTCA